ACTGCTTTCAATTTGCTTAAGAGGGCGTCGCACCGGTGATTTTCAGTGGTAAAAACATGTTTAAGCAGACTGAAAATAACTCGCCTAATTTTGGTTTTAGAGTAAAAGCCTCCATTATAAAATTAAAAGAAAACAATATTCCGAAGGGCAAGACGGTGCGTTTTTAAAAAAAAATTATTTTATTGAAAAGTTAGTCATTTAAAAATGTTAAAATAATCGTTATTTCTAAACTATGTATTGAGCGTTATACTTGGAAAAATGAAAAAAGCGCACCGTCTTGCCCTCCGAAATATTCTTTAAATTGTATAATGGGTGCTTTTACTATAAAATCAAAATTAAGTGAGTTATTTTCAGTCTGCTTAAACATGTAGAGATGAAAAAACATTTTTAAATCGCTTTCAAGGATGCTGTGATAGTCCAAAAAATAAATTAACTACCAGAATAGATTCCTAGTTATTGAACTAATAACTACACGTCACAGTTTAACCTTTAAATTACGAATTTGTAAAAAATTGCCTATACTTTACTCCTTAAAAATGGGCGGTGCGACGCCCTCTTAAGAGGGAACTACAGAGTACTTTTATCATAGTAAAGTAACGAATAAACTTTAACAGTAAATACATTTTTATAATTTATTATTTACAACGTTTAGTTTTTTCTGGTATAATTGGTCACAGAAATCTTAAAATTGTTAATGGCACGACAGCTTATTTAATGGTTTCTTCGTTGATACGATTTTATAAGTGTACTATATTTTTGTCAACGCTTTGTAGACACCGAAACGGCTTTAAAAAAGTCGACGCAATATATTTTTGCAGTATAGACCACCAAAAGAAATGTGGGGGTGACATCCTTTTTTAATCGATCGTTTGCTATTACAATACAAAACGGCGATTGGTATTCCTGTTATACACTTGAATCGTTTAGGTGACATAATTGAATCGAGTGGTCGCAGGACGTTGAAGTGCGAATGGAATCTGCTATTGAAATACTGCGGACTCCGCATACGGTAGCCATTGTCACTGTATGCCAACTTTTTTCTCTATCTTATTATTAACATGTTACAAGTTTTTTTTTTATACTAAAGAAGACAATTTTTAATTATATTGTGTTGAACAATCGGACGTGGTCCTCGCTGAAACAAACGTCGTCCTAGTTTTACGATTCAGCCGCTGCATGTACATTGACAACGGTATTAAAAATTATAGTCCATTTTTTTCTTTTTTGCCCGCTGAATATGAAGTCGTTATTATTTTTATGAACACGTTACACTTAACGCTCGAGTAATTTTCTTTTGGTTTTTTCGATTTACATTTAAATCCGTTTCGTGGGCTTCTATATGCATTTTTTTAAAATTTCAAACATTAATGATACTAATACTGAGGTGTACGTTTACTGTTAAGAATACTTGAGTAAAATGAGAGTATACAGTTGTTACATAAATAATATTTATTTAAATGAACTCAAGACAGTACCACAAGCACAAGCTCATTAAACATTATCATAATAAACAGAGTCGCCAGTGTTCCCATATATAATATTTTCCCTATTATAATTTTTATATTAAGTATAATATGCTTAATAGTTTTCCACCAAAAACAGATATGAACTCAAAAACATTTAAGCTTTTCATATTGTCTAATTATTGTCTATAACAACTTGCTCTTAGTTTACTTTACTTGGCTTGTATAAATCCTAATATTGCATCCAAACTTGTAAACGCTTACAAGAATCCTTAGCGGTCGAAGAGATAATTTAATGAATTTTAAATTTGTTGTATAATACATCTAATTACCATACAAAACACAATACAATTTTGTAAAATCACAATAATTTCTGATTTACACTACATGCGGAATTTCCAGATTTGTTTACACTTAAGACTTAAACGCGAGGTTTAAGTCTTAAGTATTATGAGCGTTGAGTTGAAATTTATTTCAATTTATATCAAAACCCGCTACACAATTTGCACATATGTGGTTTTATTTATTTTATATCTAGGTTTGATAGACTTAAGGAAATTTTAATTACGTTTTAATTTTTCTTCATCTATTAATATTATAGCTGTTGTTATGAAATCTGCTATTGGTTTGATAATAGTATAACGTACGGTTGTGCTCGGCAAAAAGTAAAATCACACATCGACTGTGTAGGTTCAGCTTTGCCTTATTACCCTAATTTGTTATGTGTACCTACCTCAAACCGTTAAAAACGCAACCGTGCATGATTGCGGCCGGGCTCATCCGGCGTTGCGAAAATCAATCAACACCTTCGAGAAAATTAACGGGGCCAATTATGTGTAAACACACAAAAGATAAAAAAAAAACTATAACAAGTTCATTAAACTCTTCATACTTCGCTTACCGTTTACCACTGTGTACACTCAGTACAAATAGTAATATATTAATGTATATTGTACAAGTAATGGGAGACGATAGGTACCGGTTAAGTACTGTTGTTGTAGTAGTATATAATCAAATATATAGTACACCGCCAGCGTGAAGTAAAGACACCGTAGCTGTCCGGTTCTTTTCCATATTTATTGTGTTATTATTTATTGTTATAATCAGAATATATTATAATAACGTCGTAGACGACAATCGGACGGATTCCACACGTTCTGCCGAAATCCAACGATTGTCGGTCGCGGATCTCCTATAAAGATATATAAGGGGATAAGGTATTATATTATTTCACAGTATCTGTACACCTAGTGAGCTCGCGTACCCACTGCCGGTCAGTCGTCGTGACCGCGATTCGGTAATACATTCCCAGTTATTATTTTATTTCGTGTCGTATATACACAATTCACTGGGAAACAAATTAAAATAACTCTCTCGACACTGATCTCGACAAGTGTTTTATAATATCCATATAAATATATTATTATGTATTTTTTACCGTTTTTCTGTTACCGCTCTTTACCGCTCGTATGTTGATGTGTTAATGCATAACAATACTCTATGGAAAAATGATATTATAGTCTGCCACAGTGACATAATGTATCGAAAAAATCATATACTACGAAAAAAAATTTGGAAAATAAATCAGTAAATAATAGTTGGGTGGGATGAGAATAAAAGAAAAATGGTCTGCGGGAGACCAAGGAAGAAGTAGTTAAATGTGAATAGAAAAAAAAATTGTATTTGTACAATACACAGCGAGCATTATAGTTACTATAGCGTTACAGTTAATAGCTATAAGTGTTACTATAGTGCTATAGCTAAAGCAGAATGGAAGGTTACCAGAATGGATGACAACTTTAAAAACTAGTGACTGCATAAAACAGACACAACAGATTGAGGTGCGGTGATGATTGTAACATTACTGCCGACATACGTATACTCTGTAGAGTATTATTTTTGTGGTTAAGGGTTTATTTAAATAAATTTCATTATTTTATTTCTTTACTATATCTGTAACAACTGTGAACAAGTGTGTAAGTCCATTTCAGTGATTTTACAGGGGACCGATTTTAAACTTTGACCAGCTGCCATAAATCCTTACTTAGCCAATAACTCACATCTCTTTCAAGGTTTTCTTCTTGGTCCAACAAGTTAGACATTTGCAAATGTGTGCTAGACGCCTCGGACTACATCCTAGCGTACTTAGTCAATTTTGACCAAAATTCGACTTATGCACTTATTCACAGTTGTGACAGATATATAACCACAAGTGTTGCTTAAGTTTTTATAGATAATATAACTCCGTCTCATATGGATTAAAACCCTATTAATTTGAGATTGTCAAATGATTACGTATGTAATTGTATTTTTTTAATTAAGGAGCCTCTACACCTGCGTATTTTTAGTCGAAAACAACTCATTCTACTTCAAACGTGCTGTTCCTAAGAATACTCTGATTTAAGTTTTGAAAAAACATTTGAATTCTTTATAACATTTTCAAGGCATCGACTGTGGCACAATTAAAAAAAATGGTTTATTTATTAATATTTCAGTTTAAAAAAGTTACCAATAAATAACGTAATAAAAATATATTAAACGAATATTTATGAAAAATAAGTTAATTATTTTTGTTTCTGGGTAAAATTACAAGTACATAAAAATAAAATATGTTACTGGCATATTCGTTGCCGTAAAAAAAACTTCCATGTGCTAAAACCTAATTGTTCAGGAGACATTAAAATGTGTAAAATGATGTATAGTAGGTAACACATAAGAGGTTTTATTTTTATTTTTCATTTATTCTACAATGAAGATAGCACGTAGGAGATTTTATCGTGCGATAACTTATTTTTTTCTGAATTCAGGGATACCAAAACCACAAAATCATAAAATTGGCACCTAAGAGGTTTTTTCGCGGCAACGACGATATGTTGGTCGTTTACCACGCGTTTATGGTTTACCGACTAGCCGATATAAAGACACACACATCCCGTTTTGGTGGATGGTTTCTTTCAAATTTCACATTAGAAAAAAGACATAATTCGGTGGCAAAAAAAAAGAAAGCCGATTATAAATAAATAATTAATAATATATTATATTATACGTTAGCCGACCGTACGATTTTCTAGATCATGGTCGCCGCTATAATATATTTTCAGTTCGTATATGAACAAAATATACAATATCGAGATTGTTGTTTGTTAATTTTTTTTTAATATTCATTTGTTTTTACTGCTCCATAACAAATTATTACCATCCAAGTGTCGCTTGTGACCTAAATATTGTTACTTTGCCGTTGACTGTCAATATATTGGTTTGAATGTGAAAAAAAAATTAACAAATAACGTGTCCACCCGCGAGTGTATTGTAATGGTAAATTAATAAAATTTTTGATTTTATTATTATTAGTCGGACGGTCATAAAAAAAAAATGAAAATTCGTACTAAATACACGGCGCACAGTATAATCTACGTGAAAACCGTCAAGTAACGCGGTGGCGTTGCGCTGCCTGTGTAGTTGGCGTTAACTGTTTAGTGGGGGAGGGTCCGAGCGGTGTTACCAGCGACTGTTGTTCAGCTTAGTGTTCCCCATGCAGTCGTCCGCCGACTATACCGCCGAACACTGGAAACGCTCACGGGATTTTATTTGCCTATTTAACATACAACGTACACAAACTACAGCACTATCGGCTTGCATTACCTGTACACCGAGTTAAGTGTTGACGTTACACTTGTTCTGTTACTTAAATATATATACCGTCGGTCGCGCGTTTTTCAATAACACACTACAGCCGTGCCATTGAAAAATACAAAAAATTTATATTTTTATCGTCAAAAGTTTTTTAAACGCGTTCGGGTCATAGGTTTTTTGGTTTTTTAAAAACATTTTTTGTCCGTTATAATAACCGCGGGTTCGTGTTCAACTCCAGTCATCTTCCAAAACGTGAGTATTAATAAGTGCAAATAATTATCATCCCAAGTGGTAAGAATCAAAAGGTATCTAAGACTATGTAAATCGGTTGAAACACTTATCGTGTACGTTGTTATGTATCTCGCCTTGTCTTAACAAATTGCAAATCTACGTCTGAATTTTTTTTTTAAATTATGTTTAACACCACAACCTTATGAACCATTAACATTATGAAAAATTAGAACTGTTCGCTAAAAGCATGTGGTGTTGGTAAGTGGTTATTCAAATGATTTATGACATAGTTAATAATAAGAACCGCTAAAAACTAAATTAATTTGTGATTTAATTTTTTCAAAAACACCAACATTTGTAGTAATATCTTCCAACTCTAACTCGTGGTTTTACCGCTTACCTTTAACAATCAATTGTAAACTTAAATTATTAAACAATAAATTAAATATATAAATTAAAAAAAGTAACTGGTCAAAATAGTTTTCAAATAATTACTTGAGATAAAATCGTTGTATGATAATACTACACAAGATACTTAAACTTCGTAAATAAATTAGTATCAATAATTTTGAAAACGGAATAATATGTTATGTTAAAAGAACATTAACCCGCCTGTAAGAAGAATATTTTAATAACAAACATATAAAGGTTAATAGATAACTAGGTTTTCAGAATGTTTCTAGAGTACTATAGAGTCTTAAGAGGCATTTAATGGTCCATATTTGTCTTTCCATAAAACATATAATTTTCGTACAATATGTAAACAAAAAGTCTTAGCTTCTATTTGTATGTGTCTGATGCTAGTTTATAAAACCAATTGAATGATAAAAAAAAATGGAACACAAAGTTTAGGAATTTTCTGCGCCGTCAAATTCGGTCATTCGTTTGTACTTAACACTTTTTTTAAATATTTATATACCACCCCAAAATTTTAGTTTTTACAATATGCTTAATTGATCAGATTTTTAAAACAGTTATACTCAATTGTTGAATTGAGCACAGGAACGCACGCGAATTGCCTATACTATACCCCTCACAATAGCCTGTTTCGTCGAATAACGTACGGTTTACGAATATGTAATACATTTAAATGAATTTTGATTGTAACTTATAGCTTAACATGTTAATTTTTAATTATCATTTCAAATACAAATTTTATTACAATTATTTAAAAATAAAAAGTATTAAAATATACAAGCTAATAATATTGAAATTGTAACTGAATAAATGTATAAATTTCATTAAATCTATTAAATATCTTAAAATATTAATCAATTCAAAATCATATACAATTGAATAGTTTAATTTAAAGGCTAAGTACATGTACAATAAACTTATAAATTGGGTCATTCTGTAGAAGCGATTAATTGCCGAATCTTAATTTATAGCTAAAACATAAATATGTTATTAACCTATAATATGTTTATTATACTGTTTTTTATTTTATTTTATTTTTTGGTACTCCTGCGGCTTACCCTTTTAATTTATAGTTCTTTTCGAATAAGAAACCTTTAAAATTTCAGATTTCTAGCTCAACTTCAAGTACTTTCACATGAATTTGTTTTGCATTTGATCAACAAAGAAATTTTAATTTTTCATTAAAAAAAATTTAATTTGAAAACTAATACACTTTTTTTCCATTTAAAAAAGTATTCTGAAAGCTAAAATATGACAGTTTTATTTAAAAAGTTATCAGTTCCAATGGGCTGTAACTTAATAAAAACTAATTTGATAGTTAAATATGGAGAGTGATTTTGAAGTGTCATATTTCAGCTTTAATAATCTTTTTTGAAATATACTAAACTTTGTTTCGTTTTAAACTTAAAATTAAAAAAAAAAAAAAAAATTAATTTCTCGTGCTAATCAAATGCAAAAAAAAAATTCACGAGGAATGAGGAAGTACTTAGAATTAATCATCTAACATTTTAGTGATTTCTTATATTTTGAATAGATTACATACGAAAATAGTAAACGATCGCTTTAAGTAAAAACAATAACACAGTTTCATACATTTTAGTGTTTGTTTTCTTATAAATAACCTCACAAACAAATCAACTCAAATATACGTATATTAATAGTTATTTCAATAATAAAATGTGTAAAGGAATTTTTAAGAAACCGTTATAATATATGTTTTTTCTCTTAGCAAACGCGAAGCATAGTGCCAACGTATATGAAATAGTTTTTTTGTGTTCATTTTTGCAACAATTTATCGTACAACAAAATTGAAAACAGCAATATTTTTTTATCAACTTACTTAGAAAATGTTAGAAAGAAATATTTTATACAAATTATTTTGAAGTTAAAGTTTAAAAATTTTAGACATTATTAAAACTATTATTTCTTAATGTACATATTTTTTCAAAATTGCCTATTCTCCATGCAAGGTTGTGGTAAATTGTATTGTCTGCATTTAATGTTAGTAACAAGACACATAATAAGTTGTTGTAAAATTGACAGTTATTTACTTTGCGTGCGCTGGAGAGAGATGCAGAATACTTACTAATTACTATGGTTGTGTTTTGAGATACACGTATTATTTTAGTTTGTTAATAATAATAATAATAGTTTTCCAGAGTGAAATGTATATATTGTTGCCTCGCGTTTTATGTACATCTTTGATTTTATTAAGCCGTCTGGTTTGTTTGCTCGTTGAATTCTATAAACAGTATCCGCTTGCTTGGGCGTTACCAAATTAATCCTATTAATTTAGTATCTCGATTATAAAATAACCAACAGATTTGTAGACCGTTTTTTAAATTATAAAATATATACATTTATATATATATATATATATGGTCATTAAACTTTCTACGCCGTTGGAACGGGGATTAAAACGCGAGAAAGTAAAACCTTACGAGCCGTACAAAATTATCGTTTTGGGTTATTAAAAAAAGAACTCTGGGAGGTTTTTCAACATTAACGAAGCTCGTCACACGCCGTTGCAGGATAAAAAAAACGAAACGGCTGTAGGTATAGTAAATACTTAGGACCGTAAAGACTAAAGACCGACGGCGTAGGCCAGCTGCAAGAGCACGATCATAGACTATATTATATTATATTACAGGTAGGCTCGCATATTTTATTATAAATATAATATATTAGTAAAAAACAGTCGTGTGTGTGTGTACACAATGTGCGCACGGTTACCGCGGCGGACATAAATTTGTACCTATAAATCATATAATTTTCTTGTTGCGGAAACAAATAACTCTGGTGTTCGAAACGAGGTTGGGTTGGACGTCCGGGTAAACAACACGTGTATAGGTATTATTTTCTCTATTCTCTTATTATAAATAGTATGTGTCTTGGCGTGTATCGGCGCAACCACTGACCCCTCGAGGACCCGTACGGCATCGGCCGAGGTTGACGTGGGTGTTTTGCGTGCAAGCAGATACGCGACGTGCACTGCCGCTATTGTGTACCTATATAAATATATTCGTATTATTATTATAATATCGATGAAACACACGCGGAAGACGTGCATATGTCCGTGGAGGAGGACTTTGCCGTAATTAAGAGCCATCCGGTAAGTAGGTTGAACGGCAATTGGAAATTCAGACGGTCCCGCGAAGTAGGTTGTCCGCGCAAAACACATAATAATAATGGTAATTTAATTATAAAATCGGTCAGCGTTTTCCCCATTCACACGAGTCCGCCGTCATTTGGTTCCTCGACGGACAACACACGAAAAATATGCGACAGCCACTGAAATTACTAGAATTGTCTATAATACAGTCTACAAGTTAACCGCCTAACATACGCATCATACGCGTCATGTACAACGTGCAATAGTAAAATATCGCGATATTATTTTTTTTTCAACAAAAATTTCGTTTCTCACACTAGAAAAAATAAAATATTTTTTAAAAAAACCCAGTGGAGCATAGAGAAGTCACTCGTTTTTACCCGACTGTGGAAGAAGGAGTCTAATGTGTTGTTTAGGTGTGATTTAAGTTACTGAACCGATTTTGATGAAATAAAAACTTAAGTATAAAAAAATAACCTGTGAATTGAGTGTTTTTGGCTGTGTTGAATTCATCATGGAATCAAGCATAGTTCCGCGAAAAAACTAGATCTCTAAATCTAAGATGCTACTTAAAATGTTGTGCAAATAAGAACTAAAATTATCCCTAAGGTCTTATAAGAATATTTTGACAATTTCTATGACCAAGTTTGTTTTTCTTAAAAACCGGCGGAAATAACTCAAAATATTTGTTTACCATATAAAAAACCACAGGTGTTGCTTAAGTTTTTCTAGGCAGACTACTGACTAAACTTTTTTTGGGGTGTTTTGGGTTTACTGTGTTAAGTTAAGTAATTTAGAAATGCCAAAGAAATTCTAGACTGCTGGGTGGGCTGAAAATAAAAAGATTACACTATATAATAAGTGTTCAAAATTATTAATTATTGTTGGCCAAATGGATTCGGCTACGCTGGCCGGAAAACGTATTTTGTTTTGGTCACGGTGGATAGAATGTAATTTAACGTTTTGCCGCACTCGCTATCAGCCAATTTGTTCTCAAGCTAACGTTTTTAAGTATTGAAAAAAATAATCACTTTATATTGTAGGTACTAGGTAGGTGTATAAACTATAAAATAACATAATAATACGATATTACCGGATAATCACATTCAATTTGTAACTTGAATTGAAACCTTAAGCTATAAGTAACAGATTAATTTTTTTCTCACAATATTGGGTGACATGTTTATTTTTTTTCCCTTTGAGAATTCTTTACGTTATTATTTTCTTAACACTATTCAACTGCCTGTGAAAAATACGTATAAGACTTTTATACGTTTGGATTTGATTTTTTTTTTGTTATTTACTTTCCCGCTGAAACGTGGCTAAACGCATTGTTTTTTTATGTTCAAATTAAAATTGGTACGCTTTATAGTACTCGGACTACGGTCAGTGTAGAAAAAAACAATCTAGATCTAATCAATGTTGAGCACTTACATAGGACTTACTACCTAGTACAATTGTGTGCACGCGTTCCGCTATAAATCATCACACT